TCAGATAATTTCAATATCTGTGTCTCATCTCACTGTGGTATCTGCTGATTATATTTTTTTTATCTAAAATTTTCCTGGTATGATGATGAGTATTATGTTATGAAACTCTGCTTTCCATTTTAGTAGGCAGTCAAACTTTAGATTCCTAGATTACTTTTATGGACTGTGGCTCAAATGTCAATTATATGTTAAAAGCCTTTTCAGTGGTATTTTGTTCTGCCCCAAATATGGGCTACCTAGTGGCCATTCTGAAGCCTGAATGGTATATCATGCCAGCGTTCACCAATCAGACCTCTTTCTGTAGTGATTCTGATCAGTTTCATGCATGACATTCAGAGGTCTGCCAGGGATTTTAAACACAGATTTTAAAAATCCCTTTCTCTAAATCCCTCCTCATCCTCACCCTCCCTCAACTCAAGCTGTAGTAGGTAGGGAACTGCCTCAGTTTGCAGTGTGGCAATGGTGGGCTTTGTCCAAAGTCTCTGCAATGCAGTTGGGAGAGGGAGGGGTGCCTTCATTATGGCAGGGCAGGCATGGTGACAAGGTTATATGCTCAGTCTCCACAGCTGTGGCACCCAAGGAGGGTAGAGAAGCAACTTTTCATGATGTTCCCCTGGAATAGGGTAGATAAATATTTTTAAAAATCTTTTTTTTTAATGTTTGTTTTTTGTTCCATCTACTGGTTGGAAGATTCTAAGATACACAGGAGGCAAAATAAACAAAGCACATGAAATTCACTCTGTACAGGATTTCTTTTTGTTGTAATTCGCAGGAAGAATAGCATATCATGTTTCCACAACTTCTTATCCAGAAACAAAACCCTGTAGTTTAAGCCTACCACATTTTCAAACATTTAATGCACATTTAACTCTCATCTATAATGCTACTTGCTTATTGGAAAACTAAGTATTTTGTGTTCCCAGTGACATTTGCTCATATAAGTTCCATTTAAAAATGATAAACCAACTTTTATTCAACAATTCAAATTCTAAGAACAATATAGAACTATCTTTTTATGTAAAAGAACAACATAACATTTGTTTGAAGAAAAGAACTATAATTAACACTTAAAGAGATTATTTAAAGCCTCTATGGAAAAGAGGCTTTGAACACAGGAAGGACTCACATTTACCAGCTTTCTCTAAGAGTTCAGCTTTATTTACTTTTTCACCTATTAGAAAAGTACCAAGGGCAAGGTAATAGATCCTTTGGTTGCAAAGCCAAATCCCTAATCTTTTAAACATAATAAACCTCTCACATGGCATACTATAAAAACCCTCTCCTTATTTCCAATGATATTTACAGCCTCGAGGTATGGTTTCCTTTACTAGCCCTGACACTTCCAAATCCAAGCCCAGCCACTCCAGGGGAAGATGATTCAGACCAAAATTTAAAATAAAACAAACAAACAAAAAGCACCCCTCCAAATAAGCAAACAAACAAAAACCCAGAAACTTCAGGAAGATCTGAAGAAGAGAAAAACCCAACGCCACAGGGCTATGTTATTGGCAGAATGTTAACTACACTTCTTCCATCAATCCTAGCTAGCCTCTGATATGCATTAACTTGATAGAAGAAATTATGGTGTGTGTGCATGTAAAAGTGTTGGGTTTTTATAGGTGATACTAGTGGTTCGGTGCATGGAATACGTGCACATTAAAAGAGAATTCGAGAAAATATTTTAATATTGCTATTTGCCCTTTCTCTATAATAGAAATGTTAGAGATGAAAAAAAATCAGTAGAATGTATGTGAAAAAGGAACCCTCGTGCACTGCTGGTGGGAATGCAGACTGGTGCAGCCACTGTGGATAACAATATGGAGTTTCCTCAAAAAATTAAAAATGGAACTCCCATTTGACCCAGTGATCCCACTTCTAGGAATATATCCCAAGAAACTAGAAACATGAGTCAGAAAGGATATATGCACCTCTATGTTCATAGCAGCACAATTCACCATAGCTAAGATTTGGAAACAGCCTAAGTGCTAAGATTTGGAAACAGCCTAAGTGCCCATCAGCAGATGAGTGGATTAGAAAATTGTTGTACATCTACACAATGGAATATTACACTGAGGTAAAAAAGGAGTTCTTACCATTTGCAAAACATGGATGGAACTGGAGAGCATTATGCTAAGTGAAATAAGCCAGGCAGAGAAAGATAAATATCACATGATCTCACTCATTTGTGGAATATAATGAACAATATAAACTGATGAACAAAAATAGATCCAGAGACAGAGAAACATCAATCAGAACATCAAACCTCAGGGAAGATAGGGGATGGTGGGAGTAAGGGGGAGAGATCAACCAAAGGACTCATATGCATGCATATAAGCCTAATCAATGGACATAGACAACAGGGGGTTGAGGGCATGAATGGGAGATAGAGGATAATGGGAGAATAAGGACATATATGTAATACCTTAATCAATAAAGAAATAAAAAGAAAATTTTTTTCTAATCCATTTCATTAAACTAGTGAAAAAGCATTCTTTTTAAAAGAGGTGCCATGCTTAAAAATACATTGGGAATAAATATTCCAGTTATAGAAAAGACATTCCTTAAAAATATATGTTTAATTTGGGGGGAATGAGAGAAAGGACTCTTATTCACCTCTAACCAGAGAAGATGAAGCACGAGTGACTTCTAAGATGTTAGAAATACAGCTTCTGACTTAAAAACTTCTAGAATACACAGAAAAAATGACCATGAATATATTAAATAATTAACAAAAATAAATAATAAAAGAAAATTATTTTTCTATAACTTTTTTTTTACTAAGACTTCTACTGTCTTCTTGAACATTAAAAATAACTTTTCTTTTTTCTGATGGAAAAAAGAAAGCATAAAATATTTGTTAAATAGTAATACTTGAAATTGAAGTTAAGGCTGAAATAAAATGCTGTTTTACTATAGCCTAAAAGGTTAACAAAGCCAATGTAGTTTTAATTCATTAATATGACTTCAAAGTGAAATTCTCCAATATAGAAAAAGAGAAATCAGCACAGAAAGGATCAAATTTGCACTAGAGGTGAAAGTACTTGGTCACTTAAAAACCAAGAGGGGAAAAAAAACTAAAGCAGTGTCTTGCTACAGTGTGGGGAGCTGAATTATGAGCAAAGCTTAGTTTAAATATAAAATTTTGTTGCTAAAAATTTAATAAAAATGTGGAAATGTAAGAAACTCAGAAACCATAGCTATTTCCATTTTAAATGAGAATGATAGCTCTGCACCACCAGCTGTTTACAGTTCACTGAATGAGGTTCTAGTTGATAGGAGATAATTACCTCTTCCCTACAGGAGGCAAAGAGTTTCTATTTCTACAGACACCTCTGATGAATGGCCTCGGGAGTATGAGACCAAGCCAGCATGCCAAGATCAGTTTGGTTTTAATGATCTCTTTAAACACTTGATTTTTCTATTTTTCTCTATTTAAGTATAAGAAAATGTGCACCTTAAAATATACAGAACCCAGCCCTTGCTAATTCGCTGCCTTTAACCTTAAAAGGAAAGCAGTGATTGTACACAGAAAGTATACGATCAATAGTATTGAAAAGAACAGGCATGGTAATTTCAACCCAAGTGTTGAAGAATTCTACTTACTAATACTGTATTCCCCTGAAAACTATTCCATCTGTAAGTTCCTGTCAGTTAATGATGCCTCCATATCTCCAGTCACTTCATCTCTTGAATTACTTCGAAGGGCCTATCAATTCTATCTTTCCAGTCTTTCTCAAATTTGCCTCTTCACTTCCAATGCAAAAGGCCACATACCACAATATTTCTCACTTGCTGTATGGTGCTCAGATCCTAAATGGTCTCCTTGCTCTAGTCTCTTCCAATACTAACACAGTTAACCCAAAATACTACTTTCACATTAATATCACTAAAGCACTCTCATCATGTCACTCTTATCTGGTATGTATAACTTCTGGCAAATAAAGAAAAAAAATCAAAAGTAAATCAATCTCTCCCCACAAATATGTAAGACTGGGTATGAATATTAATAATTTAAAAAGAACAATAAAAAATGAAGAGAATAAATTTAAAAGCATCTGGAACTTGGGGTTTAACATTGATTTTTTTTTCTTTGCTATTTATGTTAAAATGATTTTTATGCAATAAATGAAATATTTCAGTAACCACTTTCTACTTATATATCATAAAGCTTAACCTGCACCCAAGGACCTCTGAATTCTGGCTACCAAACCTACCTTTTTTTCCAGCTTATTTTTCATCCCTCCTTTCATATAACCCCAAACTCCAGACAAACTAAAATATCCCTTATCTCACTGGGTTCCTATATCGCCCTTTCCCAGCTATGGGTCATTACTCACATCATATGCTCCAACTAGTGTGTTCTTCTCTTCCACTCAGTGTCTAAATCCTACCTAATTACCCTTTACAGCTTAATTCCAATAATACCTTTTCACAAAACTATCCCTAACATCTTTCTCCACTGAGGATTTCATCTATATTTCTCATATAAAATGTACACCTTTCGCCAAAACTGGTTTGGCTCAGTGGTAGAGCGTCGGTCTGCGGACTGAAAGGTCCCAGGTTCGATTCCGGTCAGGGGCATGTACGTTGGTTGTGGGCACATCCCCGGTAGGGGGTGTGCAAGAGGCAGCTGGTCGGTGTTTCTCTCTCATCGACGTTTCTAGCTCTCTATCTCGCTCCCTTCCTCTCTGTAAAAATCAATAAAATATATATTTTTTTAAAATGTACACCTATTTTGCATAATTGTGTGTGTGTGTGTGTGTGTGTGTGTGTGTGTGTGTAAGAAGTAGCCCCCTTTAGGGCAGAGGCCTTGTTTTAGCCATCTTTGTATTCCACTTGAGGCATCACAGAAAGTCCGTCTGAATAAATATGTAAAATAAGTAGACTCTCAAAAAGCTAGGGCTAGGAAGACCAGAAAGTAAAAGGAACTCTCATTTTTAGTTTTATTATGATTTCCCTTCTTTTTCACTCTAGTTTATTTCTTAACCTAACCTTCTTACCTGAAGATATGTTATTCTCCGCTGGACCAGTTCTGTCAAATCTTTGGCCTCTTTTTCCCGCCAATCACCTGCTCCATCTGTTTGACTGAGGTAGTATAGGTCTGTCATTATGGACCTAAAAAGAAAACAACATTGGAAGTCTTACTTTTTTGCGCTTTCTCATAGGATTACACAAACATAAGAAGAGTCAAATTCTTCATAAAGATTGATGCTTATACCGATGCGAATACTAAATTCTTATTTTCTATCAAGGCTGTGAAATCCAACAATTAGCCTTACTGGTAAGAAAAACCTACTCCTCTTCACCCCCAGCCAGTCAGCTATACTTATTTTCCAACAAGAGTACTACAGAGACTACGGGGAAGTAGATGCTTATAGCAATCCATCAATCGATCAATCAATAAATAGATTAACATAAGGGAAAGAAATTAAATTGGTACCAATATTTGAACATTTCCTTTGTGTTCTCGCTACTGTCATTTCCTATCCTCTATTAAATTTTATTTATACTTTAATGCTGAGTGGCTGGAAAAAGATCAGAGAAAAATTTTGAAACAGCTCTTAAACAGTAGTTTAAACCAAGGGTTAGCAAACATTTTTCTATACAGAGTCAGATAGTATATATTTTAGGATTTGTGGGCCTCTACTGTTTAAAAGTAGGAGAGCTGCCATAGGACATTCAAGGAATGCTTATAAGGATGTGTTTTTTGCTTGTGAAAATTATAAAGTTAAAAATTTGTTTCTATTTGTCAGAAAAGTATATAATATAAATAAAGTTTATATTATATACACATACATACACTTCTAGAATTCACCAATAAAATGATATTAAGTAAAAAGCATAAAACAGTAGCTGGAGGTTCAAAAAATACTTAGAGAAAATAGATGTAATGTTAAATAATGAGAACAACAATTAACAGGTATTGAGTTCTTACTTATTGGCCAGATATTTATTTTAGGTGCTTTACATTATTTCATGTAATCTTCACAGCTGCCTTATGAATTAGATAAGGAATGTAAGGCACTAAGAGATTAAAGAATTTGCTCAAAATCATAAAGTTCAGAAACAAAGAGTGTGAATTCAAATCCAAGCAGTGTGATTCTGAAATTTAGGCTTTTAACGGCTGCACTAACAAACATCAGGAGTACAACAATGTGGACTCTGTTCAATGTAACTATGCAAAATCAGAAAAGAAAGAGCATTGGGAGCTGGACGACCTATTTCCCAATTTTGGCTCTACCTCTTAACTGACTCTGTGTTCTAGGAAAGTTATTTTGACATCTCTAAGACTAAGTTACTTCATTTTAAAGTAAGTATAGTAAAATGATTAATGTTAATACATACAAAGTAATAAAATATATTTGGTGGCTATTAGCTATAGACTGAATATCTGTGTCTCCCCCCAAAATTCGTATCTTAAAAAAGGCTAAAACCTAATATAATAGTATTAAAAGGCAAGGTCTTTGGGAAGTGCTTAGGTCATGAGGTTAGAACCCTTGTGAATGGGATTAATGCTCTTATAAAAGAGACCCAACTGAATTCCTCGGCCTCTCCTACCATGTGAGGTCACAATGAGAAGGCACTGTGCTGTGGATGAACCAGAAAGAGGACCCTTACTAGCCTCCAGAATTTTCTGGTGCCTAGTTTGGACTTCCCAGACTCCAAACAAAATTGATAAATAACTTTTGTATGTATAAGCTACCCAGTATTTGGTATTGTTATTATAACAGCCTATAAAGACTAAGACATTACTATTTATACTAGAACTATAGAGGCCAGGTGCACAAATTCGTGCACGGGTGGGGTCCCTTGGGATGGCCTGTGGGGATCAGCCCCACCCAGCTCACACCACAAGGCTCAGAGCCCCAGCTCCTGCCCCCAGCCTCGAAGCCCCGCCCAGCACCCCACTGTGGCCTGGTGTCACCCCATCACCTGCTACACGATTCCGCCATGGTCCTGCTCTCATTGGGGCCCATTGGGGCTGGCAGTGCCTCCTCTGCCACCCCTGCATTGCCAATGCCTGCCATGTTGCATGCTGCCCCTGGTGGTCAGCATATGCAATAGCGAGGAATCGAACACCGAGTTTGAATAATTCACATAGTAGGCTTTTTATTATATAGTTAGAATGCCTCAGTTGTTTCAGTGTTTTTATCTTGTTTGTAAAGAGTATCTACTAATAATTCTACAACTAAAAGGAAGGACCCATTGGATGTGACAGTAATATGTGGTACTAAAAGCCAGTCAGAAAAATAATCCAAAACCCACTGCCTTATACATCCTGAAGGAGATTAATCAGTGAGGACTCATTTAGCATATGATGAAACCAGCCCTCAACAACTGCAACTTATCTAAGCAAACATGACACAGTCCCAGTTCTCTTTACTCCTGCTTCTTAACTAGATGTTAAACCATTTAGTAACAAAACACTCTTCACCGCAGAAAAACTAAAGTCTTATTTACTATCATAGAAAACTACTAGAACTTTACATAATTAACAGAGAATACTTGATAACAGGCCCTTTGAATAAAGCAAAACTATTAATATAAAATTAAGAATCATAGCCACAGTTTAGAATATTCACCCAACTTACAGTAGAACAGCTTTCACAAGCTTTAGGACAACAGGGTCATGTGTTGTGAAGCCTGTTAGGCATCTGTTTAATGTGTCAATATTATCCACACACAGGATACTTCACAGCTTTACTATTTCCATGTGCACCCTTTAAACAGGACAAGATACTTGACACTTAATTTTTTAATATTTCTTACTCTCACCTAAGATACAAAACATTTTCTTTTTATAAAAAAAAATTAGTTGAAAAAAAATACACAAACCTACAGCTTACTGGTTCCTTAAGAAATTAACTTGCAGTCTTACACATACACTGAACCTTGGTTCAACTTTTAAGTTTTTCCAAATTATTGTACAAAACTAAAGCTCCTACGAACTATTATGTAGCCTCCAGTTACTGGGGAAAAAGTCATTACCCACAGGAAACTATGTGAGTTGATCATGGAAACACGTAAGCAGTCTTTTTTATAAGTCTTTTTCCTACCATTCTCATCACACTCATTATTATTTATATCTCATGGATTTTATCATATCCAAATGTGGTCATTTGCTTTTTCCTACTCATACAATAGAAGTGATCACAAAACGTGTTGTAAATCTCAACATTAAATGGCAATATTGTTTCTCCCTGTAGTAAAGTGGGATAAATAACCAGGCTAGCTCTGACCAGTTTGGTTCAGTGGATAGAGTGTCGACCAGTGGACTGAAGGGTCCCAGGTTAAATTCCGGTCAAGAGCATGTACCTTAGTTGGGGGCACATCTCCAGTAGGAGGTATGCAGGGCAGCTGGTCAATATTTCTCTCTCATTGTGTTTCTAACTCTCCATCCCTCTCCCTTCCTCTCTGTAAAAAATCAATAAAATATATTTTTTTAAAACACACACAGGCCGAGACCAGTTTGGCTCAGTGGATAGAGCATCGGCTCGGGGACTGAAGGGTCCCAGGTTCGATTCTGGTCAAGGGCATGTACCTTGGTTGCGGGCATATCCCCAGTAGGGGGTGTGCAAGAGGCAGCTGATCGATGACTCTCTCATCAATGTTTCTAACTCTATCTCTCTCCCTTCCTCTCTGTACAAAACCAATAAAATATATATTTTTTTAAAAAACACACACAGTTTACCAGCATTAAACATATACATAAACATAAGACAAATAGCACTGCATTTCATTGATAATAATAATCATATAGCCTCAAAAAGGTAAAAACTACTTTAGATCTAATTTGGAGAGAAAAATTCTCTGAAATATACAAGTTGGCATAGTTTATGCTTTCTTACTGTAGTAGTCAATCCATTCCTTTACCATTGGAAATGAAAGCCCAACTTTGTATTTTTTTAAAAAATTAGAACAGTGAATCATAAAAGTGAATGTTTTTACCAAGTTACATCAGTACTAAGTCTTGGCAATTATTCATATCCATCCCAATCCGTCTAGAAAGTGGAATAGCCAAGATGTCTAGAAAGCCAAACACCAAAAACGAACAAGCAAACAAAACATACAAATGAAAAAAAACACAACAGTCAACTAACATTAAGTTTGCTTTCAAATATTTTTTTCTTAGACTCCCCATTGGAGATCATGTAAGGAAGACAAGCCCAGAAATGATGTCAAATTCAAACTAGTGCTTGGAAGATTCAATAATGATTTAGAAGTTACCATCCTGCAGTTTATCATCTTTTGGACAGAGATGTGAGAATAGTCAAACAGAAAGTTTCAGTTTTGGCCCACTATTGGGAACCATAGTAACTGAAAACAAATCTACTTGGTTTTCAGTGACTCCACTCTGAAATCAAATCTCCTAAAAGTGACATAAAAGCTGAAAATCTTGCTGTCTTGGTTTTGACTATGAGATAACAAAAATTTAGAAGGTGGATGGTAAATCTAAAAGTCTGGTATCAGGTCAGGTCAAAGCCTGGGAAATACAAACTCAGGCTAAGTACCAGCAGACTAGCATGAGGTAGTTGATGGTACAGTGCAGGTATCTGAAAACAATGGTAGGACAGAACAGAATCTATGCCTCTGACAGCAAGCCAGCTATGCCAGGCAACAAATTCTCTTATTTCAAAAGCTGGGCTACATTTATGTTCTTTGTATTGTCTATTAAATTTCCTATTTTTATATTTTAAATATTCACAAAACTTCTCTTAAATGTCCTGATGTTTTGCTTATACATGATTCAAAATGTTATAGAAATTCCGAGGCCAGCAATGAACATATGTAATTCAAGCAAAAAAATCCCAAAATAAAGTAACTGATACTTATTAAAGTTAATGTCACATGAACTGTAAACGAGTGATTAGATATATTCAGTAACATATATTTTTTTAATAAAAAAAATTTTTTATATATATTTTTTATTTTTATAGAGGAAGGGAAAGGTAGCAAGATGGAAACGTCAATGATGAATGAGAATCATTGATCGGCTGCCTCGCATGGATTTCATGCATCCGGCCTCTAGTATATTAATAAATGAAGAATGCTTTAAGCTTAATAATAAAACAAACACCTCTCCAAAATTAAGCATGTGACTTAAATAAACACTT